ACATTTGTTGTTGCGGGATAATATGAGCTCGTTTCATCCTGCCATTCTTGTTGGCAGGACATCAAGAAATGATAAGGTGTTGTATTCTTCCTTTTTCATAGATGAACTCAAATTGAGGGTGAGCCATACTCAACGTTTTCAGAAGGACCTAGGCATCAATTTTATTATTAAGCAAGATAAAAGCATCATACATATACCTACATTAAGACGAGACTTCACTGAATACCCTACCCACCTGACGATTCTCGACTTTCGTCATAAACATATCCGCTAACAGAAGACACAGGGGGAGAACACATTTCATCCTGTGCTGGCAGGTACTCCATGAAATGAATGAGAACTGAAAACTATTCGCACACTCCTCAGCATTCAGTCACTCCGTGAATAGAGTCAATGTGATGTGAACACAGCAGTATGACAAGACTAATTACTACCACTGGGGATCGCGCTGGAGACCTTCATCATTAACAAGACGGATGTATTTTAGACTGATTCAAGGATCCTAGAATATCTGAAATTCACAAATGAGTCTTGTCTCACACATAACACACACTCGAAGGTACAGAAGCCGAAACCAACAAGTCTGGGAACAGACAGCAACGATACAACTTCAGGTGAACATAGAAAGGACAGAGATGATGAAGATATCTAAACACCAACAACAAAAACATTCATCATCATATATGACAGTAATGTAAAGGAAATCGTCTCACTCCCACCACCCACCACCCACCATCTGTCTGGGCAGCATCATATCAACTATCGGACACATTTCAGTTGAAATTCATTAGGCGTTACAAAAGTATCAAATAAAAGCCTCTATCGGGCTAACCACCTCCCAATAGGATGTTTATATTTCTTACCTGTTCAAGGGTTAGTTTTGTTTTTTACCAGTTGATCACGGATTGATACCAGTAAGAGAATCACTTCAATGAGTGCGTACTACCGATCATTCCCAAACTAGGATGAAACGCCTGCCTCTATACCTGATATCAATACGTGATCAACTCGCTAAAAACAAAACTAATGCTTACAAACCAACTATAGGAAAGTTATTTGTCATTACTGTGAACCTGTCTTCCCAAAGCAATTTAGAACCAAGACTCAATTTTTATTAGTTTCTTTCACCCTCTGCCTCAATTCTGTTTACCCTACATCCTTATGTCATCTTCATACCTCTCCTCGCCCACACACACACACACAGCACCTTTGGATCTGTGACCTTCACCTGTACAAAATTTCACCTGTATTCCATTAATTCACGCCTACTCTTACCTTCTACATAAATGTGTGTGACAAGTTCTCGTGTGTGTGTGTGTGTGTGATCAGAATGTCCGAAATGTGTTGCGCAAATACATTACATTACACCTTTCAGATAAGCTACGGCTTCTTATTCTTTCGTCATTATACTATATTATTTACTGATGACCTTCCGAGCACAGTTTCATTGGTAGTGCTACATATATGCGTGTGTTGTCATGATGTGTAGCACATTGCGAGTAGATGTCGAAACAGTGAGTTATTCACAATATTCAAATGAAGCTGGTGTTTTCTGAATATGATTGATGGTGTATGTGAGTAAAGGTTAAACGATCCCGTAGGTTGACCCAATTAGACAAAACAGAATGGCACAATATACGAAATACCTTGCAATGACTGTCAGTTAGGTCAACTACAAAGGTCAAACCACTAGAATGGATGGGGGGTAGTCAGATAATCAGAACATAAGAACCTAGCCAAATGTAAAATGACTGACCTTGTGAAGACAAATAATCTAGAAGAAAATCAGCAATTGCACTGCATACATTGACGTATAACTACACATTGGGGTGGGACAGAGTCACATTTCTAAAAATTAAATATAGATGGATGAAGAGAGAGAGAGAGAGGTTGATTACCGACTGACTGACAAAGTGAATCTTTGCTCATAGGATAATCTACACCCAACACAACACAAGCAATAGGAATGACTCATCACCACTAGTACCAGAGATATGCAAAACGCTACTACTGTGATGAGAGCTGGCTGCTAGCTAGCCAAAGTTGGTAGACAGTAATTGACGTGAATGTTTATGTCGCCAATATTGGTGGTGAGAAAATGAGAACAAAGGCTTTGCGTAGGCGGATACAGTTAGCATATGGATGATCTGACACAGCCACAAAGAGATACAAGGTTAACTTTCTGTGAGAAACAACGAGTCAAAAGACTGTATTTTCTACTAACAATAATCTACAATAATGTACATTAAAATCTCTAAATATGTGTTGATTTTCCTTAATAAACGATCTGTTGCCTGACCCCTGTCTTCTGTTATTACACTACTACTACCACCAATCATCAAATCAAGTGACGAAAAATAATGGAATTATTATGCACAAAGTGAGAAGGGGTTGTATGAGTAGTGCCTCGATATTGATTATGAGGAGTAATGAAGATTGGGATCGAAACGTGGTCGTCAGTAAGTAATATTAATGTATAACACTGTGAAACTGTATCAAACAAATTCACTCTTTGGTGGAATTATACCTACCCAACCACATGGATCAAGGTGGTCTGTTCTTATATCAGGCTTTCATTACGATATATTAAGTGTGTGTAGCAGATGGAACAAGATCGGAGTATTTACCTTTTATTTTTAAATTAGTCAATGTTTCTGTATGGTTCAGGGAATTGGCACATGAGTCACCAGAAACATCTCCATCAGTTCACCGCTACTGACTTTCACCAACACCTGAGTTCTCTAGATATCGAAGATCACATAGTCGGACAGATAGGATAATCCTAATGGTATGGTATTCTGGCAGATAGTGAACCAGCTGATAAATATGCAGAACTAATAGGGAGATGAATGGATTGGACATACGCTGAGAAGACCGTTGCATGATATAACACGTTAGTTGTTAGGCGATCGAGTGGAAACCGAATGGAAGTGACGAATTGGCCATGAGTACGAAGGGAACTTGGACAGCAAAATGAAAGCGTGTGGGCATTCGTAGAGCCAGTTGATAGTGATATCAAGCATATATAGAGAAAAAAGAAACATGTTGAGTTGAGAAATATATTCCTTTTCAATTACTTCCTCATCATCCACTGGCTCTACACTAATATATAGTCGCTTTTTACATCAAAATGTTTCACCAATCTAGGGGTTATTTTAGTCCATCAGTTCTAAGTATAAGCGGAGGGTGATAAAATTAAGAGGTTGAAAGTCATCAGAACATCAATTAACTAATAGATGTCGCTAATAAGATATCTAAGTTTCTAGGGAAGGAGGGTTGAATATAACTACGGAATTCAAGAAACGTCAATTCTTAGGCGTTAGAAACAAATTATTACATAATCAAGAAATTTGTAAAATAGCAATGATGACTAGGAAGAATTACGTAAAATACAAACAAGTTAATAGAATTAGCTAGCACTGTAAAAATTAATCCCAGAAGGTGAGTACTGCCAATGATTCCCAAACTAGGATAAAACAGCTGTCCAGCACTCCAGTACTAGTTTTCAATGGTTCTCTAACTCATATTAATCCGTGATCAACTCGTAAAAACTAGCAAGATTTTGTTAGAGTCGATTTGATGTTCAGTCAGTATCGACGAGATGAGCTAGTATTGAGCTGCATATAGCAGCTTTATTCGGACCTTTGCCAAACCAAGATGGGAGGTGTTCAGAAATTCGACGATTCGATGAACTTGGCTGATCGTATGCCCTATGTAACTAGCTCCGCACGGAAAGTTAAACTGAAAAATACACAAGGTTAGTTTGTCTTCAATTCTTGAACTGAATATTGGTTGCCTAGTGAATATACAGCAAAGCTTAATTTCGTTGAAAGTTCTTCTCAAGGCCCTTCTCAGACATTGTGGTAAGATCTCGCTATTGACATCACCCATGAATTGTAATCTTGGGAAGATTGAATTTTTGGGTACAGTTGTCAACTTTGACTTCTTACTTTCTGAGTTCAAGTACTTGTCCACGAATTTAGTCGGATATTCGTTTCTACTTAGTAGATCACGAATGTAGCTCGGCGAACCAGACATCTTATCGGCTTACGTTTGTAATGCAGTGGTTCGAAGCTCAGGAAGTGAGTATAGTGTCTAGTGGGAGTGGGTTTTCCATACAAGCGTGTGCATTGTTATGTGGGTAGATCCGATGACAATGACTCGTATTTCTTCGCTATATATCATGGATCAGCAGAAATTGTTATTCGTGAATTGGCCACTGGATCAGTTCCCAGTGAATGAATGGTGTACGAGCACACCTAGTACATAGAAGGTACAAGGTTTGCCCCGGTAAGTGAGTACCCATGAAGAGTCCTAAACTAAGACGAAACAGCTATCCACCAATCCATGCGGTCAAATCTGTCCCAGTCAAATGTCACGTCTTACTATCTTCTCTCAAATTCATTTTATTTTGTACTAGCCACTGAATTGACACAATTTACAACCTTCAACTGAGGAGTCAGTTTTCCTGCCCTCCATTTTTTTCTATTAGGTTGTTATTATTGCTTGGAGGATATTTTTATGTATTTATGTCACCACCATATCACAATGTTTTTTGATTGCATTCAGCCCAGCACTTTTGGTCATCCCATAACTAATCTGTTATTCAATTTAAAAATATAACCATAAAAGGATAACTGGCTATTGTTATATATTAATATTAATATACGTATGAACTGTGATCAAGAATGGACCGGATATTATACATAATATAATATACTTTCTAACAGTAAGAACATGAATAGGAGTACCTATTCAAGGGGATGTCGATCGGGCAGACTGATTTTCTCTAATCCATGATTGGAAGAGAATGTGTGATAGGAAATGGCCTTGTCATTTGAAGGTCGTACAATCTATCATGTGATTGGCTAGTGTAAAATAATATGCATGATAGGGGGGATAGTAGGACCGAGGTGACTGGATCATCACATGATGTGATCTCACCAATAGGAAGTGTGAAAGTGTGTAATGAAAAAATACTATATAAAGTGTTACGATATGACCGGTCTGTTATTGTACGTGAACAGGAATCCGTCGGATTGCTCACTACTATTCTGGTAGTAGATACTGACTCTACTAATAATATATATTCAACAATTACAGAACCAAAATCCTCTTCAAGTCATTATACAGCGATATATTGTTCAAATTTAAATCACAGGACTAATCAATCTACGGTGGACGAGTTTATCCAGTTGGAAGTGAGTGTTTCTGTCTTTGCTCGATGGATAATTAATTGCGTTTTGTATTTTCACTTTTTCATTGCGATTATTACACGACCCCACTAGATGACTTCACTATACTGGGTGGGTATATTTTTCTGTAGTAGAATGACATTTCATTTTTATATGATGATGATGATGATGATGATGATAATGTAATCGTAGGGAGGTTGTTTATATTAGGTCACACTTGTCGTTAACTGATATTTTACACATCCACAATTGTTGTTATTTAGATTCCGTTTGGTTCTGTGGTGAGCATGGGTCTTCAGCAGTACATCTCCATATTTGTCCTGCTCTCCTCTATGCTCGTTAACTGGCCCCACGATTAGCTCAAAGCTTACTCAAAAGTAGTTTCTAAAATAAATCAAAGTGAGAAAAAAACAACATGATACCTGAATGACACAACTGAAGAGCAGGTTGTTCGATTAGATAAGGTGAAAAAATTGTTATTCGTTGAGAAAGTAAGCTGATAGTGAGTGGAGTGTACACTTGACAGATGTAAATGAAATGAGAAAGTGTACACAAGGAAGGAATATCGAAGAGTGATAACAGTGAATTAATTAATTGGTTGGTTGGCGGATTTCATCATGCGTTGAAATCGGTTAGCGAACCATTGGTAGCCTGGGAGTATTGCGAGATTGCTGTTTCGTCCTAGTTTGGTACTCTTCATAGTGCGCCCTCGGAGACGACCGCAAGCGAGGTGAAGACCATGGACTAATAAGGGACTGGACCTAATCTATCTGTATACAGTGATTGAGGTCACAGGACGGTGCTTAACACGGGTTGGAGTTTCTGTATATATATGTACATATATATATATATATATACATGGCGAAGACGCTCCCGACTTATCAATATAACTCCGAAGCCAGAATGCTGAAGGTTTTGTTTTGAGTCTCTTATTCTATTCCAGTGTTTAGTTCTTTCCTAATCCAGATTTGTGGAAATTTAGGGTTGGTTTCAATTCTTATATTCGTGTCAGGAAGAAACATGAGTTCGAGAGGTTAATGAAAGGCGGGGAGTATTCGACAGCTGTTTTGTAAGCAGCTTGGACTGCAAACACGGAGGTTCAGGGTTCGGTTCTCCAAACTGTCGTGGGTTCACACTGCTAAATAGTACCGTATTAGGATGACAGAAACGGCTGTCCAGTGCTCCCTGTCTGCCTCTCAATTATCTCTGTAACTGTGATATTGGTTCTTGACGTGGATCTAACTATCTGACTAACAATTGGGAATCTTTCAAATTGTTCGTTCATTTCTGTTTTTATAATGAATTAAATGGCTGGTTGGCGGATATCATCATGAGCTGACAGCAGTTAGAGAAGCATTGGAAAACCGACAGGCATTACTGGACGGCTGTTTCATCCTAGTTTGGGACTCTTGATCGGTTGTCCAGTACTCCCAGGTTTTCCAATGGTCCTCTAACTGATGTTAGCTCATGATGAAATCCTCCATGCAATCTAACAAATATCCCTACAAAACCAATACTTGATGTATATATATATATTGTCGGTTTTCCTTTGGGTTGTCGGCTTGATTTTTTCAATGTTTCTGCTCTGTCGTTTATTTTGTTTAAAATTTTTACTCAGGTAGGATAATTTATTTCATTGTTACGTTGTTGAGGATAACACTGCTTTCCTTGAGTAATTGGACGATTTCTTGTCTTGGTAATTTCCTCTGAATCAGGTGAGATCGAATCAATGAAGAGAACATTAACGCCGGTCGATCTGAATATCCGCAACATCATGCATGTAAGTGGTGCTCGTAATCCCTAGGTGGTTATGGTTTTGAATGGTGTTGTTGTTTTTTAAACTACTGGCACCATTTTCATCTAAGAATATTTAAGTGGGTAATTTTCTTTCTTTGTATTACCGTGACTTCTCAGACTTACTGTTATGCATAAAATGAGATGCATTTTAATGCGTCGGATCTGATGAGGACTCCTCATAAAGATTTGATTAGAGTTCTTTTTAACAGAAAAAAAATGTGATTATATAATTGTCCAGTGTTGCGTAATGTGATCTCAGCAAGTGTGATTAAACAAGAAAATAGTGAGAGTTTGATGATATTGGATGGTTGGCAGCAATCGGCAGGAAGCCTTGGAAGCCTCGTGCTAGTTGTCTAGTTGGTCGTCAGGAAGGCTTGTGTGCAACCTTGAAGGAAGTCAGGTCGCTTCTGAGATTCGATGCTGCGTCACCCATTGTTGCAGTCGGGCTGACGATTGACCTCCTGTAAGACTGTAGTGCATTGTTTGATTGGACACTGGTAACTGGCGATTGCCTCCAACCATCTGATATCGTCAAATCAACGTGCACCGTGATGTTGAGCTACCTAGAATGGTGGCCACGTTGCAAACCTGACTGATAGAATTCAGTCTGCACAAGACAGAAAGGACTAGATGTACAACACTAGTTACTAGTGTCCAGTCAAACTATAGTGAGAGTTTCTCGACGATCTTCATCTTCTAGTTAGTATGGAAAATGTACTGTTAGAATACTTGAATATTATGAAGCGTGATTGAATACAGTCAGCATTTTGATCAAAATTCGTTTTTACAAAGAAAGGTTTCATTGTGTAATTCGTTGATTTTTTTCCTTTGAAGTGTAACGGAGGAGACGATGATGACGTAATTATGTTAGATGAAGAAATTCCAGCTAAAGTTATAGTTAAAAATTCCCAGAGCAGCACTGGTCACAGGGTTACGAAAAATGATGTCCGGTCGCAATTGAAGTCGGAGCAAACAAATATGTAAGTGTTAAATTGTTTGTTGTTGTTGTTAGTGTTTTGATATGTGCTTAAACCAAGAGATTTTAGCAAAAGAATTTTACATTGTTATTCCCTTGGTTGTATAGAACTTCAATAGGTCATTTCCATTTTGTCGTGTGTTCTGCAGTCGCCTTTACCCGGCCTCAATATTGCCCATAAGTTTTCATTTCCTCCGCACGCGGTTTCCTCGTTGCCGCTGTCGAACGCCCAAATGGTCATTTCCCACTCTACCGATGGTCTCCTCTTTCCTTGCAAACACTTTGCATTAGTGTCGTGAGGATATCAGCTGTCGTCTCGTGATCTGTTTTCAATGCCTCAGAAGAGAACTCCGCGTGGTCCTGTTGTCTTCTCCACTTTTAGTAGCCTGAGTGCATCGGAGACTTGTGCATTGGTTGGAGGACTGGTATCCACTGACCAGTTGTTCTGTGGTTGTTGGTGGTATCTCTGGATGGATTGTAAGTGATGGTCAGTTGAAGAATTTTTGAAGTGAACAGCCCATTGTTTTCTTTGTTCGTCCTTTTTGGTAATGAGGTTCGGTTGGTGCTTTTTTATTGTTCTTATCTCACTTCTTTATTCACTGGATAGTGAATTGAACTTAGTTTCTCCTTTTGTTGTCCATATTTGTTACTGATGTTACTTCCCGCGTGACTTGTAAGGCGTACATTTCACCCTTAGGTAAATAAGAGGTAATGTTGTTGCATTTTTTATTGGTATATGGTTAAGTTTTAGAAAGATAAACTTGGTGCGTGAGGCAGTGAAGTCGGACTGGATGATCATATAGGGATACATCAACATATTTGTGTTCATTCTAGACCTATTAATCAGAAAGATTGAAAACTGCCTTCGATTTTCATTTTACCTAGAATTGAATATCGAATGTATCCTTGGTTACATATGAATGAGTATCATCATCATAGTTAATTTATTTGAATAATTCTAGTATTTTCTGCACTTCTGGTTTTTGTATAAACAAAGGCGACTGTGATGTTATCCTCCTGATGACGAATTAGTGTTCGGAGGCTGTAGTAGAAATTGAAGGTGTTGAAGAATGTCATATACACATTTGAAATGAAGGAGTTCCAAGGAAGGAAGTATACCTCACTGATCAAGGCACTGTATTCAAACTGACTCAGCGGTGTCAGTTCTTGTGGAAGTTTTCCATCTGAAGTGATGACAGTCGGTGGTGGCTATCAAGAATGCTCACCCTTCCCATTTTTGTACGGGGATGATATTGTCCTGCTAGGTGAAGACTCTGACAAAATGCAGAGTCTTGTGAACATTTTGGACAGAAATCTCGGAATATTTGGCGTGTGATTCTCTCCTTTGATATGTGAATGGATGTTGCAGGACTGCACCGCACCGCACCGCACCGATTCCAAGCTTAAATACTGGGAGTGAAGTAGTACAGCGTTTTGGCCACTTAACGACTTATCTGAGAAGTTGCATCTGATTGCCGACGAAATCTCGGTACGGATACAAGAGACTGGTGTGGGATTCTCTAAGTTGCGTGATATCTGTCCATCGATCAAAATACGTGTATACTGCGCAGTACTTCGCTGTCTCCTCCTCTATGTCTGTAAGACATGACTATTGAGAGTGGGACATATGTGAAGAAAGGCTGGCTGTCTATGACCGATCGACAACCACCACAGGTGTTTGCATTGTATTTCCCATGTTAGGTGGTATAATATGGTGAATACTAATGAGACTAATCTTAGAGTGTTAGGCAAGAGGGGTAAGTGCATCGATGAGGTTGTTAAGTTATGTCGATTGAGATGGCCAGGGCATGTGTTGGGCATGATGAACCATCGCCTTCCTCGTCGAAGAGGAATGTTAGCTGACATCAGTTTAAGTTGGAAAAGGATTTTGGTTGGTTGGTTGAGTCGACACCTAACTATAGTCTGTGACGTTTTTGACTATTACTTTGAGCCAGCCACATAGTGATGTGTAGATTGTCGCACTTGAGTCCTCGGAGTATTAAGAGCCAATGGTTGGTGACCATTGGAGATTTGGCTGAAAATCGTTCTCCTCAGTGTCGCGGGTGTATTCACTGTTTGCCATCTGGCATATCCAGTAAACCCTAGTGATTTCTCCATGTCGCAATTCTTTCTCCCGTACATTTCTGCTACATTTCTGTAGTCTCTTTTGTGTGCTACATGGAGTGGTGGAGTGTGTAAATTTGAAATGTTACATTTTTGCGTTATTTTCTATGTTAAAACTGAATCAATCAATTTTTCCGGATTTTGTAGGATTAGGTTCATCTCGTCAATATAGTCTTGTTTATTGATTAGAACAACTAACTGTCAAACCTTTATCCGATCGTAATGTTGCTATTTGGTGAGTATTTTTGAGATGTTTAAGTGCTAGTGTTCTAGTGTTTTCTGGCAGCATACAGCCTACAGCAACAATGTCAACCGCTTTTCATTAGCTTTGAAGACACCAACCGACCCGACCAACCAAGCCTATCTATCCTCACTGATGATTATATATTCTCTTATGATCTGTCAGTTGGTTGGTTGAATATATATGAATTGTCAAATTGTAATTCAGTATAAATTGTCTTGGTGAACTTTCTTCCGATGTGTGAAAGTCAAATCCAGTCAGTCGGGAGTGTTTCACAATTGAAAGAAAATACGAATCAAGTATAAACAAATCTGATGCTTAGAAACTGAACTCTTGAAAACTAATATTGTTTCCGAATCTTACATTGATTTTATTCAACTGACTAATCATCAATATTTACTCATGTATATAAATGAAGCAGGAGAATTGTGTGAGTACTTACTGCCTTGACTTGATATGATTATGAGCAATAATGAAAATTGTGCTCGAAAGTTGGTCATCAGTAAATGTTACTGCATAATAAATACTGTGTGACTTAATCATGAGAATAGAATTTTATCCATAATAGAATTACCACCACCAAGGTATGTTAAGAGTAATAATAAATTGTTTTTGAACACACAGTGAGGAGCTTAAATTTGCGAATAGCTATCGTCCCAACCCGTTTCAAAAAAGCATATAGAAACTACATGAGCACAGGTTAAAATGTGTATGGTATGAGCTTGGTGGTGGTGGTGGTGGTTTAATCGCCAAGCCCGTCAGCCCTGCCAACTGTGTGTACAGAGATAATATTTTATTATTCTAAACCTACCTTGGTAATCCTTATCTCATTAGACAGATAGATAACTAACAATGATGTCTGGTCACAACGGAATCTTAAGTCAGAGGAAACAAATCTGTAAGTGTTAAATTGTTCGTTGTTGTTGTTGTTGTTAGTGTTTTGATATGTGCTTAAACCAAGAGATTTTAGCAAAAGAATTTTACATTGTTATTCCCTTGGTTGCATAGAACTTCAATAGGTCATTTTCATTTTGTCGTGTGTTCTGCAGTCGCCTTTACCCGGCCTCAATATTGCCCATAAGTTTTCATTTCCTCCGCAAGCGGTTTCCTCGTTGCCGCTGTCGAACGCCCAAATGGTCATTTCCCACTCTACCGATGGTCTCCTCAGAGTGTCAGATCCACTTCCACTTTCTGCATATTTGTGTTGACCAATGGGTTGTTGATTGTTTCGTCACCGGAGTTCGTTTTTGCTAATTCTTTCTCTGCAGCCGTCTGATCTTCGGTCTTGAGCCAGAGAAGGCAGCTGTTAATAAAGTTCTTTAGTGTCCTGTTGTGGGAATGCTTTTCGTCAGGTGTGAGTCAAGTTTCTGATCAATTTAGAGGGAGTGACTTAACATCGGTGTTGAAAATCGGGATTTTGTTGTTTATGTTGAATGCAGAAGATTTCTAAACTGATTTCAGAGTGATGAAGGCTGTTCTTGACTTAATCGTGACTCGGCCTGTAGTCGAAAAGACACTTTCTAGCTAGGTAAAGCAAGTGATGTCTTTCAAATGTCTTTCGTTGGTAGTGATTGGTGCTTGTTGTCGGTGGTTTGTTATCTGCACTACCGTCTTCTCAGTCTTCATGAGAAGTCGTGTATTTGGAGTCAGTGCCTTATGCGAGTTCGTCGGTTCCCGCCTGTAGGTCTTCGAATTTATTTGACAGACATAGATCACACACAAAGTCCACATTTTATAGAGTCCCCTCGATCTAGCGTACTCCTGTCTGCCCCCTTTCTGAAAGTCTCCCGCATAACCCAATCCCAAACAAGTAGGAATATCATCGGTGATAGTTTCTAGATCACTTCGTGGTCAAGGCTGTTGGAGGCCTGTTGAAAGCTGACGAAGTTAAGGTAGAGATTTGACTGTGGTTCTCTCCTGAGTTCGATGATTATTCGTAGGGTTGCAATTTTTCAGCTGATGATTTTCTTTCCGTGTATCTGGTGCATCTTCTAATCTCTCTAGGATGACGTGAGTCTTAATATCTCTCTTGTTGTGGAGAACGGCATGATTCTGCGTCAGTTCTTGCAGAGGAGTAATTTGCCCTTCTTTGGTAATTTAACGATGTAGTTTTTCATCCAATCGATAGGTACATTTCACTCTTTCCTTGCAAACACTTTGCATTAGTGTCGTGAGGATATCAGCTGTCGTCTCGTGATCTGTTTTCAATGCCTCAGAAGAGAACTCCGCGTGGTCCTGTTGTCTTCTCCACTTTTAGTAGCCTGAGTGCATCGGAGACTTGTGCATTGGTTGGAGGACTGGTATCCACTGACCAGTTGTTCTGTGGTTGTTGGTGGTATCTCTGGATGGATTGTAAGTGATGGTCAGTTGAAGAATTTTTGAAGTGAACAGCCCATTGTTTTCTTTGTTCGTCCTTTTTGGTAATGAGGTTCGGTTGGTGCTTTTTTATTGTTCTTATCTCACTTCTTTATTCACTGGATAGTGAATTGAACTTAGTTTCTCCTTTTGTTGTCCATATTTGTTACTGATGTTACTTCCCGCGTGACTTGTAAGGCGTACATTTCACCCTTAGGTAAATAAGAGGTAATGTTGTTGCATTTTTTATTGGTATATGGTTAAGTTTTAGAAAGATAAACTTG